GGGGGGGGGGGGGGGGGGGGGGAGGAGGAGGAGGAGGAGGAGGCTGATGAAGCCATTCCCTCCTGTGGGCATTCATTATGCAAATGAGGAACACTAGGAACACAAACCCTAAATGGGCTTATTGAATGCTGGTCATCTTTTGGTACCAAGCTAAGGTCTATTCAGGTTTCAAAGTGATTTAAAAACTGTGATTGAGTTCTTCAAACCTCCTGTTTCTTACATTTTAACTTGGGTAATTATAGAAATAAGTAACACGTTTATGACAGTGATTCCTGTTAAAGGAAAAAAAACTACCAAGAAAAAAGCTGAAAAAGATGCAGCTTTATTAAAGACTCCCCCCATTCCACCATTTTAAAAATGCCTTTCTGAATCGAATAGTTTTCAACACTTGTCTAAAATGGTAAGAGGTAGAAATATCAGAACATTTTTCTCTCAGTCTCCATTATATTAAGATTGTTATACTTGAAGGTAAGACATGATTTTTTGCTCTTTCTTGGATGCAGCTGTTGTTCTAGGGAGTCAGCTAAGGAGACCCCAAGGAGCTGCTGCTCTACCACCAAGACCACCATCTGATATACCAGACATCCTTCTTGAATCCACCAATACAGATGTCCCACTAAAGGTGTTCTGCTGGTATTGGGAGCTTAAGCATGGAAGAGCCATGGACCTGTAGGATCCAAAATGTTTTTATTCTCTATCATGCTCATAAATGAGGGGCATATTTAATGAGATCAAAACTGACAAAATCCTACCTCTCCTTCCTGCCTTAACTAAGGACATCCTTATTTTCTAATGAACACATATAAGTATTTGTATTTCCCCCCAGACATTTGGATCCTTTTGAGTGAGTCCCCTTTTGGTGGTTTCATTATTGTATTTGGTTGCCAAATATTATATTTTATATATTGGGTGTGCTTTTAATGCTATGCGGTTCTTTTCGTTTATTGCTGTATGCCACTGAGAGTCACACTGTTCAAGCTGGATAGCCCTAAACAACCATTAAATAAATAAATAATGATAATGAAGGTTTCCTCTGTTGGCTTACCATATTTTTCCTAAAGGTTTTCCTTTGTTGATCAACCTGTTCAATATAAAATGCTTTTGAAACACCATCTACTATACCTTCTTAGTTTGGTCCATTCAATTACTCCTGAAAATTGTATTTATAATAGCCGATCTTCATTAAAAAAAAATTACAGGTTGCTTTCATAAGGCTCCCAAACTAAGATTGTATAGCATTTAAAATAACAAATCTTCATTCATACTTTATGCACATGAGAAAACTCCCCAAATGGTCTTGTGCATTTTCCCTCATTTGGCTCTGCAGGATGTCAAGAGGAAGAAAAGTACACAAATTTGAATTTCCCTCATTGCTGTGAGAATATTTTGCCTAGGCACATATTCAGACAAAAGCATGAGTAAAATATCAACATCACTTCCTCTCCCAAACTGTCTTGCCTGTGGTTTCCCCATTGCAATACGAACAAGTTGGCTTTCAGGTTTGCCTGTGGGGCTTGAGGGCTTCAGACCCACAAATCCAGTTCATCTAAACCTGAATCACACGGTATCTAACCTCCACGAAATGGAATGTCAAACCCATCTCCAAAGCTCTATTTCTTTTTTGATGTATATAACTGAGGATAATTATAGGGCATTTATATAGAACATTTTAAAAAATCTGCTTCATTGGCAAAACGTACCATTACTGTCTCTTTCATGGCCTGATGCATAGCTGAACTGTGTTCCACATTTCTGAAGTGATGATAATGAAGATGTAGTAGAGTCCGACAGTTTTCTGTCATCTTTGGTATCCTTAGATGGCACATCTGTGATGCTGAATTCTGATACTGAGCTGAGAACAATACTTTTTATAGGTTTCTCATCTTTACTTGCTAACTGGTGTTCTAGAGTGATGGGGAGAAATCACAATTACTTGATTAAGATAAGATATTTTGACCTTTTTCACCATACATCCTGTATAAATGTAAGTCCCCAAAGTCATAACAGTATAATATGACTAAAGTGAAGTTGGCTTCTCATAAAGTTTGGATGTTACTGAAAACTTTGCATTTTGCCTTTCCATTAGATTAAAAAAAGATGCCAAGTGGATTTTGGCCAATCATAAAACAATAATCTATAATAATTCAAAAGCATAGGTAACATTTGAGGAACATAAACAGAGTTATGCTGGATCAGACCAAATACCAGCATTCTGCTTTTACAGTGACCAACCAGATGAAGCCCAAATGCAGGGCTTGCAAATGACCACCACAGCGTAGGCTTTCATAGCTGGTATCTGTTGGGCAGTGTTGAGCTTCACGGTTTAGTGACTATGTTCTAGATGCTGCGTAGCAGACCACCTTGCCTCTAAAGATGCCAGCCACAATTGCCAATGAAATGTCTGGAAATCCGCTGTCTAGACCATGGTCACTAAACCCCGAAGGTCAACGTTGCCCAACCACCATAGCATTTGCTGACTTGGTGATATTGCTAATACATTACAATGAATAGCCACTGTGTCTTAATCCCTTTCAAAACCATACTATATCTTGTTATAGCAAATGCCACAGTTTAACATTAAGAAAGTACTTCTTTGACCATTCAGTAGAAATTGTGTGAGATTAAATCTTTACCTAGACCTATCATATGATTAAGAAATAGAAAATTGGATCTCAACTCCATGCTTTGAACCAGATACTTGTTATGTTGCAAACAGGTAGCCCAGTCCTATGTAACCCCCAAATAACCAAAATTCAGATACGTTAACCCTCAGCTTGCCGATCTGTCTGCAGTATTATATTGTCTTTGTATTTTGGCTGCAGTTTGGATGTTGTACAGTTTACCTTCTCCCTTGCTCTAGTCCTCTACATCATTCTCAGCTGTCCTATTGACCAAACTCCCCATTGACAGATTTTGGAGTCAGATGTCAGAAGGGGTTTTCAACTTGCAGAAGTCATTTATGACTCGCCTCATCTTAATCCTTTCCCACTGGCACATTTTTAGTTAGGATTTCATCTATTATAATGGAATGTGAGAATGACCTTGGAAGACAGGGGGAAGAGATGCTGCCTAGGGAATGGTCAGATGAAATGGGGAGGAGCCTGCAACTGAGTAACAGGCAGAGAAAAAGACTTAGAAAGGACCCACCCTAATTGATCAGATGGTAAATAGGAACAGCAGGACATTTGTACTTTCAGACTTGCAAGACTCTGTTAATGTAGCCTAACAATAAGGTAGAAGTAGCTTATCTGTTTGTGTTTCCTGTCTGGTTTACCTGGGAGGGCTGACATCAATCTTGCAAGTCTGAAAGTTCAGATGTCCTGCTGTCCCTATTTACTGCCTTCCAAGGACATTCTCACATTCCATTATATCTATGTACAAGGATCTATTTGTGGTATTTTTTTTCCTTTAGATACTGGAGGATCCGTCTCTATTCCAGTCCTAATTGACAATAAGCAGTCCAGTATTAAGTGGTCTCTTGGAAAATAAAGTTCAACCTATTTTACCCAGAGATAAACATGCCTTTGTCCAAAATGTGCCCAAATTCCAACAGTCTCATTACAGCCCCTTAAAGACACACAAGCATTCAATGATACTAGGCTGAGAAAACCTGGAAGGAAACATTAAAAAAAAGTGATAGTAGCATTTCCTATATCCATAGACTGCTCAGTGCATCAAGCTAAGCGCTATCCTTCAAGCACTGTTGGAGAGGAACTATAAAAGGCACACATTTAACCTGAATTCCCCATTACAACACACTCAAAGAAAAAAGGATAAAAAAAAAAAGGGAGCTGTCATTCAAGGATTCTTTTGTTTGTTGAAGAATGCAAATAAAGTGCATTTTACTGTCAAGCTCCTGTTCTGAAAAGCTTCCAGTAAGTAATATTAAACAAGTCCTAGTACAATCACTATAACAAACAACTTGCTATGGCAAGCAGATTCATATCTTCCAGAAAACATTGTTGCTCAGAGAAAGCAATGCACAGTTATAGGTCTCCATTTCCTTATGCAATTACCCCTCTGTTCAATCACAGGATGCACTTAGATTGTATCTTTCATCAGTTTAATGCTTGAAGAGGGTGTATATAGGAATAAAATTTTATGTGGAGTCCTAACCATCACAAGTTATGAAAAAGTAAACAGTACCATACATCAAAAACATCTCAGAACCAACCAACAGAGTATTACAACCGCATGGCATTACCATGGCCTACAAACCAACCAAAGTCCTCCAAAACAGCTTAAGAAAACCAAAAGACCCAGTAGCCCAAGAAGAAAAATGAGTCATCTACAACATGCAGTGTAAGGCCTGTAACAGCCAGTTACAGCCAGTCAGTAGATAGCAGAGTGCATCCATGAACACCAACTAGCAGTCAGAAAACACGTTGAAAACTCCTTAATCTCATAACACAGGGACAGACTCAACCATAATTTCAACTGGAAATCTGTGAGCATCCTAAACCAATCTAAATCCAAAAACACTAGAGAATTCTGGAAGCTTGGCATTCAGACAAATCAGCCATCAATGAACACATAGAAATAAACCATATTTACAGACCATTCAAGAGACAATAAAAAAGCTAAGAAGGAAACAAAAAGACCAAAACACATCCTCTCCAGTAGCCAACACCCAGATAAGCAGGGATTAACACCAGGCAAACAATCAGGCAGAAAACAATACCCTAATCAAGGAGCTACCAAGGAGAAAACCTCACCCTACCAACATTGGCAAGGCAAGTGACTGCATATAAACAGGGAGCAAACCCCACCCTCACTGGCATTG